AGAAAAAGGCAGAAAAGAATAAACAGGCTATGACACAGTAATTATCACTAAGATATTAGTGCGAGCACTGTTGTGTGCGATACTGACTTTTCCTAGGGAGATGCAATGCACACACATCTATTCACCTCAGAAAGGGAACCCACAACAGACCGCAGTAACAACTGCATCAAAGTTTAACTTGGTCAACCAATGAATTTTCACTGGGGTTCCTAAGAGAAGTGTGGGTGAAGAATTACTTACAGAAGAAAAGGTGATTCAAAGACGTTGGTAAGGCAATAGATAGATAGATAGATAGATAGATAGATAGATAGATAGATAATTGAATCCCTCCCAGCATGGGTGAGAACTCACTAAAGTCACATTTTTGGAGCTCTGCACAACTTGCAGGCAACTCGGCAGGTCCAAGAATCCCTTCTCTGCCACTATCTAGCCAGAGCCTCTTCAGGCAGCAGTTATTTACTGCTTTTATAAAGCAGAGCAGGGGCTTCTAGAATTTTATAAGTGTCAGCCTTTCCAAACACGTGACAACCTCCCGAGTCTTACCTCCTTTTGGAGGGGGTATTTTGATTCCCGAGAAAGTCTGCTGTATTGCAAAATCTAATTGCAAAGTGACAATCACTTAGGCAACAGGATGAATCTCTAATAGCAGTATTTTAGACTTCGGTAAGAGCAAAAGAAGTAATAAATATTTAGGGTAAGGAAATGTTCTCTAAGCATGTCAGAAATCATAGTTTTGTTTGTTTATAAGGTCGTCCCTCATGTAAGGAGAGGGAAATGGCTTCTTTTCCAGTTCATCTGTAACAATGTCTCAATGCTGGTCTGATTTCTTCCTGGTGTTTCTCTTCCACTACTTTTCATAGTATTTTGTGGGAATTTAAGTAGAAACAGGGGACATGGGGAGGCTAGAAGCTATGCAGCCGGGATACTTTTGTTATAGTATTCTCCTGAGGGGTCCTGGAGCCAGCTTGGGTTTACACTGATTTCCTGCCAGTTTTCAGCTAGGAGCACTGAATATGTTCCAAGGATAGTTGGTTCAAAGCCCAGCCACCTCAGAAAATCTGGGAAGGGAGAGGATAGAGACTGGTGTGGCTTTGCTTGCTTATGTGGTTGGGAAGCATGCTGTGTTGGCCCTGTAAAGATTCAGGGAGATTTGAGACATGTGCCCCATTCTTAGAAAAATTAAACACAAGCAAGGAAAAGTAGCTTGTGCAAAGTTACAGGGAGTTGATACCGGGGCTACCATACCGATTCACAGATACTACTCAAAAATTTTAGCACCCATTTGTGAAAACCATACCCACTGGAAGGCAGAAAAACTGTTTCTGAGTCTACTCTCCTATTGAGCAGCTTTGTAACGTGGGTCAAACTTTTTCAGGTTATCTGTGGCTTCATTTTCATAATTCTTTCCCCTAAACCATTAAGAATGTTCAAAAAATGAATGAAGATACCGAGACAGTTGCAGAAGAATTGGTGGAAGCTTGACAATAACTTCTCTCATTTTCTTTGATTCCCATTTACCTCTGTCTTCTATTCTCTCATTGAGTAGGTGAGTAGATGCCAGTGCCACATTCCTCTGAAGACTACAGTAAGGAAGACTCTGAAGGTCACACATCCAGTGAAAAACCTCTCCCTGCCATTGCCCTGCCACTAATATCTTAGTGGAAGGCCCAGTTTAAGAATCAATCCGCATTCTTTTGAGGCTAAATATTTCCAAAGTTTTTTTGTGTGTGTTCTAAAGATCTGCCAGCTTCTGTGAGAGCCATGGCAAATATGGTTTTGTAGGTCATTGTACATTTCATTTACCACAAAATGCTGAGATTTGGAACAATTGGAGCCCAGGGGGCAAATGGCCCTGCTCCTGTCCTTTCCCTGAAGAGTTCCACTCATTTGTGCCAGCTGCCATTGTCTGCTTGTATGCACAAATGGGCAGAGCCAGGGACTCATGGCCCAGACAGAAAGTAAATTATTATGAAATAAAATCTGTCTCAAAGGGTTCTTTTTAAGGCAAAATTCAGGAACTATTCTTACAGTCTGTAAGGGTCATGGATAAGTAGTTAACATCTAAGGAAAGAACAGTTGATGTTAGATCAACTTATACAGTAAAGTAGAAAACCAAATTTTTAGCCAAAGCATTGAAGTTGGTGAAAAGTAGTTTTCTGGGTATTTTTGGACATAGAATTGTAGTAAGACAACATAGCTCTCGTGGTCTGTTGGCTTGGGCTTTGGTTATAATTAAATGATCCTTTGCTTGCTACAGGTTTGAAATGATTGGCACTTTTCTTGATAGTGGATAGGAAGGAATCTCAGAATCAGGTATTAGTCAGTATCCTAGTGTTTCCAATTGTAAATTATATGACCTTGGACAAATAAATTTGTTTTGTGGTTCTGCACATCAAACTTGGAGGCAAGCACTCTGACAATGACCAATGCTCCAAACTCAGGTCACTACATTTCTTAATTCTTGATTTCTTAATTTATTAAATTGGCATGATCATATATACATCAGAATGTTACTGATGAAAGCCAATGAAATAATGTACTTAAAAACACCATGTGCATAGTGTACACTTAGGACTCAATAAATGTTAACTGTTCTTATATGATGATGATGATTATGATGATGATGATGATGATGATGATGACAGATATTATTAGCCTTTATCATGTTTACTGCATCTCGTGAACAATGTCAGTTTGTTTTTTAACAGTCATAGTGAAGTATAATTTATCCACATAAAATGAACTCTTATTTGTTATATTTTTACTAATAAAATCACCCTACTCCCTAAGCCTCTCTAACGAAACCCATGACTCCTCTGATTTCACTTCTTCAACCATCCTGTGGCAAGCACTTTCCACACATCAACGATTAGGTCAATATTGGAACATAATCATTACTGTTTTTTGTGTACACTATTATTTGTATGTGTATGTGTGTGCATGTGCATGCAAGTCTGTGTGTGTGTGTGTGTGTGTGTGTGTGTGTGTGTGTGTGTATGAGAGAGAGAGACAAAGACAGAGACAGAGGAGACAGAGAGACAAAGACAAACAGAAATCAAGAGCATGCTTACTCATTGCAATACAGACTATACTAAAGGAACTCTGTGAAAAAAAATTCCAGAGATCATTCTCTTAAAGTAAACTCACTGGGTGAATTAACTTTTCTTCTATATGGCAACTGTATGCTAGACTCTGTGAAGTAGAAATACATGAAAGAGACTCAATTTCAAAAAATAATTCATACACAGGTGTAAATAGGCTGATAGAAGATGAAATTTAATTTCAGGATGCCGGGTTTTGGTTCTCCTTTTCACCACTAACTAGTTTTGTTACTTCAGGGAAGTTAGTCTCATGATTTGTTTCTTTCCAATAAAAAATGAAGGGAAGAATCTAACCCACTTGACTCATAGATAGTTACGAGCGTCACTCTTAATAATACATACGCAGCCTCTTTGTAAACAGTTTGCTAGGTGACCATAGTCTACAGACACACGTTCCACTAATGTTTAAGTAAGTGCTGTGGGATGTTCTGTATGGCAAATGTGTTGCTGATTAGTCAATAAATAAAACACTGATTGGCCATTGGCTAGGCAGGAAGTGTAGACGGGACAAGGAGGAGAATAAAGCTGGGAAGTGGAAGGCTGAGTCAGAGTGACACTGCCAGCCGCCATGATGAGAAACAGCATGTGAAGATGCCAGTAAGCCACGAGCCACGTGGCAAGGTATAGATTACTGGAAATGGATTAATTTAAGCTGTAAGAACAGTTAGCAAGAAGCGTGCCACAGCCATACAGTTTGTAACCAATATAAGTTTCTGTGTTTACTTGGTTGGGTCTGATGGCTGTGGGACTGGCAGGTAAGAGAGATTTGTCCTGACTGTGGGCCAGGCAGGAAAACTCCATCTACATTTAAGTTCCAGATAGTATGCTTCCGGTATCAGGTACATTGAGAGGTCCAGAGCACTGACTAGAATTATTGCACAATACTTTGTGGAGAAAAGGAAATGAGAGTTGAACCTTTACAGTCAAGGACTTCAACAGGTGAGAAAGAGTGAAGGGAGAAGGCTGTCTTGGTGGAGAAATTAACAATAAGTAACAACCACAGAGACCAGAGGAAACATATGATAAGCTATATAAAAAATATATGTACAAATGTATGACAAGCTACACAAAACATGATGAGGAATAATGTTTCCAGGGTGGTTACAACAGACAGTAGATGGTTTTTCTGAAGGTCCAAGGGAAGACTAAATAGTGGTAGTGTGGACTCCTTTTTAGGTAAGTCATCATGTTATTCATGCTGGACCAAGTATAAGCTCAATCAAGGCAAGGCCTTGTCCTTCTTTCTCTAATGCTTATGATACTGCTAGGCACATAGGTGCTGTGGGATGGTCTGTATGTCAAATGTGTTGCTGATTGGTCAATAAATAAATCACTGATTGGCCCGTGGCCAGGCAGGAAGTATAGGCGGGACAAGGAGGAGAATAGAGCTGGGAAGTGGAAGGCTGAGTGAGAGAGACACTGCCAGCCGCCATGATGACAAGCTGCATGTGAAGATGCCGGTAAGCCACGAGCCATGTGGCAAGGTATAGATCAATGGAAATGGATTAATTTAAGCTGTAAGAACAGTTAGCAAGAAGCCTGCCACAGCCATACAGTTTGTAACCAATATAAGTCTCTGTGTTTACTTGGTCGGGTCTGAGTAGCTGTGGGACTGGCAGGTGAGAGAGATTTGTACTGACTGTGGGCCAGGCAGGAAAACTCTAGCTACACATAGGAAGTGCTCAATAAATTCTTAAGAAAAGATGACCAGATGGTAAGCTGTAATTCTTCTGTGGCTGTTTTAATACTACTACCTACAATTATTAACCTCTGGAGCAAGGATTGTGTTTTAACTCCCTCTATGTAGTACAGCCCCATCTGCTGTTGGGAATTATGAAATTCTTTGCAATTATGCCAATACTTGATGTGTTTTGGTTTTTCTCCTCCACTCTGTTCCAGAAGATTCCTTACCACCAGTGAACAATAAGGTGACCAGCAAATCATGTGAGTACAATGGAACCACTTACCAACATGGAGAACTGTTCATGGCTGAAGGGCTCTTTCAGAACCGGCAACCCAATCAGTGTACCCAGTGCAGCTGCTCGGTAAGACCCTGCATCTTAATGCCCCTGCCGCTCACTACTCAGATCAGAAAGGAGCTGCCTCTGTCCTTGTCGTTTCAGTGAAGCAGACACTGTAATGTGTTTGAATGAAGATAAAGTGTATTTAAATCTCGAGCCTCCCTACCTGTCCAAACTACCTGATCTTCATTAAGTTTGAACAATTGTCAAAGAGCTAAAAGTCACAATGATTCTCATAACACTATTAGTCACTGTGTACACTTTATTTTAAAAAAAAGTTACTTACCTAATTGTGTAGTACAGAGAATATTAGACAGAGAAATAAAATAGGGTAAAATAGATATTTAGAATGAAGCATGAGAGGAGCTATCAGTGGCTTCTCAGAGAGGGAAAGTCAAGTAGCAGCTTCTTGGGTAAGGCAGGCATCAGTTTTCTTTAAGGGTGTGTGGCTCCTGGTAGGTGGCTCATTCTCCAGTAGATGACTCTTCATGCCCAAGAGTATATGAGTGGTACAAATAGGCTTAGTGGTTTATCAAAAACAAAAAGGACAAGACATTGGGAGGACTTGGGGATGGGGATGAATCTGGGAGGAGTTAAGGGAGGAGTGAGGGAAGAATGTGATCACAATACATCGTATGCATGCATAAAATCCTCAAAGAATTAGTAAAATATGTCTTAAGAAGATGAAGCATGAGAGGGGGAGGCTAGAGGATTGTCACAAGTTTGAGAACAAGCTGAGCTACACAGCAAGACCTTGCATCAAAAATTTCAACAAAAACAAAACAAACAGCAAAAAGATAAACAAAAATGAAACTGGCAGAGCTTAGAAATATCTTTACTGACTGGGGCAATAAACACTGTATTATCAAGGGTAACTATAGAATCTCTTCCAGTTGGGATTTTTAGTGAAAATTCAGTATCTCAGTATGACATTATTTTTCTAATGGCCTTTCAAGCCTAAGTAGGATGTATATCCAAGAACAAAGCACAAGGTTTAAGAGATAACATTTAAAGGGGGAATTCTAGAAAATTGAAATTATTTGAATAACAGATGCAACTCCCAAGTAAAGTGGCTCCTCTCCCTTGCCTCACATGGATTGAGCTGTCCCCTCCCCTGTCTTTTGGTTTTGAAAGAAGACTTTACTGAGTGTCATAAATAGTGGCAATGGCACAAATTCTCATTTCCATCCACTCCCAGCAGCTAGCTAGGTTATGATAAAGACCAACAGATACAGTAAAAATAAGAGAGAGGAATAAGGTTTGGAGGCTGGTGGCAGCCCTCCCAAAATACTGTCTCTTTCCTTGGGCCCAGATGCCTGACAAAGATTGCTAACTCTTTGGGGAGTTCATCGCTCTCATGAAGAAGTAGGAAATAGGAAATTAAATGGTGCATAATGAAATGGAAGAAGAACCTAAGACTAGCTGTAAGTGAGCAGTGCCATGTTTTGATTCCCAGCTGTATCCCAGGTACTGAGGTAATCCCTGACAAATAGTTATCTCAGATCAGCCTGGAATTGACTCTTGCTTTCCTTGGCAGGAAGGGAATGTGTACTGTGGTCTCAAGACTTGCCCTAAACTGACCTGCGCGTTCCCAGTCTCTGTTCCAGATTCTTGCTGCCGGGTATGCAGAGGTAAGTGTCCTACATCCCAAGAATCTGAGGATCGCCATCCAGAGTAGCAGAATTTAGGAAAGAACAAAATACCTCTCCCATCGCTGAAGGAAAAGGAATTGGTTGTGGTAGTCTCTGTTTATAGACACGGTCTCATTTCTGTAAACGCAATGGACTCGTCATCTCCTCAAACCTGTCTTTTCTTCTTTAGCTTCTGTTTTGGTTTTACAATGATACCAGATTTTCTTTCTAGGCTCATACTTAATCACCTTTAACTTGGCCTTGTTTGCCTCTTCTCAGATTACCAGATCTATCAGCAATCTTTTCTAGTCCTTCCCATTTGGCAATATTAATATTTTCTTCCTTAGCTACATATAATCAATGAATGTATCAAGCATCTCCTGTATGTAAAACTAAAACTAAACTGTGCCCAATGCTGTGTATAAAATATATGCATACAGGACGTTGCTAGAGTGTTTATCATGTTTGTGTGAATTACAAAAAGGAACCCCATACTTAGGATACTCTATTGTCATTTTCCAGAAAGTTCCTATATATTTAGAGCTCCAACTATGGCACCCTTGAGCAGGACACAACCTACACAGCCATAGCAAAGATACATTCTTTGCCCCTCTAGAATTCATATTTCACCAGAGAAGACAAAAAATAAATAAGCTAGCAAATATATAAATATAGACCATATAAATATTATTAAAGCAATAAATAAAAAATATGATTTTTTATCAGAAGTTTAAGCCTGAATTGTGAGGAAGGCCCTGGATTGAACATCTTGAAATTCAAATCTGAAAGATGAAGAGGAGCCGTCTATTCAAAGAGCCTGAGGAAGAGAATTCTAGACAGAGATGAAAAATAGTTCTAAAGCCCAGGAAAGGAAGTACTTGAAGCATTCCAAGAGTCTGAGGAACAGTGTGGCTGGAATAAGGTGACTGTGGTTGAGAATGGCAAGAGATGAGACGAGGCTGAAGGGATGAGCAGAAGTTAGAACATGCAAGGCTGTGGAGGCTGTGAAAAAGGAATTTGGTTTTCAGTTTTTCATGCCCTGGGAAACCAGTGGAAATTTGTGAGCAAGAGTACTGTATGGTTCCATTGAAAAGGGCTCACTGGCTCTTTCATCCAGGCTATATTAAAGGGAGGCAATAATACAGGAGGAGAGGCCTGAGAGGTTGGTAAAGTGACCTCTCCATTATGGGAGGATGGGCCTTGCCCTTGGGATCACATTGCAGAGAAGTCGTCCTACGTGCAGCCTTTGGGGTCATAATGCTTCAGTTTAAGCCCAAGCTTGGCTATTTTCTAGCTGAATGACCACCCTAAACATGTCTAACAGTCTCTACAAGAAGGAACATGGTTGCAAGATTTAAGTGGGATAACGCAAGAAAGGGTCTAAGACAGTCTAGATAGCCTGAGGAATCAATAATGAACAGTAGGCAAATGTGATATGTATCTACACATTGTTTTTCAACCATGGATGTACATAGGAATTGTCACAGTGCACTTCCTTCAGGAGAAGAAAGTGATTCTAATGTGTAGTCAAAGTTAAGAAGCACTGGGTTAGAAGAAAATTTTATGGTATTTCCTTGTGGAAGTCAGGTTGACTAGCCCTATTATTGTTTCCATCTTACTCCTTCAAAACGATGGCTTTAACTATACTATACCTCTATTCAAAAGTCTTTATCCTCACATGTATAATACTTAACAATATTCCAGAGGTGATTCTAAGCATCATTTACCCTGTCCTCTCACTGTCAATGTTTTTGTCCCATAAGGACCATGTTGATTCATATCTGGACCACACCTACAGTGACCTTGGAGTAGGGCCCAATAGTCAGTATTTCAACTGAACTATCATTCTTTCTGCAGTAAAATGGTGGTGCATGGACAAGCACTTTGATAAAACCCTCCAAAAGTCACTGAAGATAACCATCACTGATGGTTTGCTAATCTGCATTGTACAATGAAGCTGAACGTGCTGAAAGTCTGAAACCAGGATGAATGGATGGAAATGCAATCAACTTTAATCTCTGATTTGTTGGCCATCTAATTGTTCTGCTACAAGTCTATACTCATTCCTTTTAATATCCTACCTGTCCATCCCTTATAATTCAATATGGGTTCAATTACAGCCTAATTACATTTTTGTTTTAATAAGGCCATGCATCTTTCCCTACCTGTTTCTCACTCTGTGTGTGTGTGTGTGCATGTGTGGTACCACAATGCTGTTATTACATTTGTCAAAATAATAGAATTGTCTCTCTCGGTTTTTTGACATTTGTTCCAGCTTAATTTTGATATGGTCCAAAGTCCAAAAGTCCATTCTGCACAGAGATATGCATGGGGTTGCTGATAAACCAGCTGGTCATTCTAATCCTGTCACGATGGCAAGATTATTTTGTTTAGAAAGGGGGATAGAGAAATATAAACTGGAGAACAATTAATAAAAGAAAGGACATTGCTAGATGGAGTATTATTACATTGAAGAAGCTGTAAGCTGCAGAAAAAAGGCTCTCAAGACAGAAGGACATGGATTTGCCATTGCAGGACCACCACCTACACCGTCCGTTAGACAAGCCACTTAACCACCCAGAGCCTGGGATTTCTCAGCTGTAACAATGAAGGATGTGATGGTATCCACCACCCACAGTGGTTGTAAAGATTAACTGCCATGGCATAGAGTGCTAGGATAAGGCCTCATACAGAGTGATTGCTTAAGAAGTGGCAATTATCGTGAAGTTAAGTAGAACGGAGCCTTCCCATGTCTGATAGATTTGCCTTTTATTTATTTAATCTCCACAGACAGAGCTTTATTTCTAGTCCTTCTTGTGGGAACAGATCCTGGTACTGACTGTCTTCACTTCTCTTGTCACAATTTAAATTTTCCCTTTTAGTGAGTCCTCAGAAGCAGCAGATGAAAGCTCATTATTACTGATCATGCATTGTCCCTTCATACGCTTAACAATTCATTAAATTCTTCCTTTGGCATCTCTAGCCTAAATGCAGGACTTTCTTTCATCTTTCTTTATAAAGACTAAATCCCTCACTTTTATAAAAATTGTTTTTTCTGTGCCTCCAATTTCTTTACATCTTTCAGTTGTATATAATGTGCTTGAAATGCCTTTGATGTTCCCATTTCTGAAGCACCTAGTGATTTTTTTCTGTTGAAATGATGTTTGTACAAAGGTGTATCTTGTTGAAGCATATTACTCACACAGCAGGGAACCCAGACACTTCTTCCCTATGCTGACCACCCTAACTGCAGGCCAAATACTGAAGAAAAAAAAACAACAACCTTTTGAGTGCTGAACTTGCAATCCTTCATATAAAGGGCCCCATTGAAACAGCTCGTCTGCACTGTCACCAAACACTAATTCTCGCCTGTCTCCCTGGGTCAGACAGCAATCTTAGACTCAGATTGAATCTCAGCTCCGGCCTCGGTTGTTTAGACATGTCTGTGAGGCTGGGACAGTCAGAAGAGTGTTGGCAGGGTGCATGTCATTGCTGGCACTTCAGCAAACCTCATCTGGACTGAAAGCTTAGTGCAAACAGCCGCTAGAACCGTGAGGGAAAGTTTATCAGAAGAACCCATCTCTGCAGAGATGTAGTACTGCCATATATGGGGCAGACAGACCTCAAATTAAACCCACACCCAGCTTTCCCCTCACCATTTATCATTTCGGCTTCCCGTCTCCTGCCTATGTTGCCAAGTCAAAGGGGAAGGCTATGTACTTGGACTATGGACAAGGCAGAAGAATTTAGGGTAAGCTGCCGGATGTATTCAAAGCCTTATTTTATAGATTGTGTGGCTGTGTCACACTTCTGTATGCACCAGGCAGTGTTTAAATGCTTACATCTAGAGTAACTCACTTGATTCTCACCACAGTAGTGGGAACTCTTTTCATTCCTATTCCACAGCTAGGAAGTGGAGAACAGAGGTTCTGAAGTGATCTGCCCTAAAGTAAGAGAAGAGGCAGAATCAAATGTTGAGCCTAGTCACTCAGATTCCAAAGTTCCAAATCAGTAATTACCACATTAACTATTGGGATACTTTTTTTTACTTGCATCGTTATATGCTAAATGCTTCTCTTTCCCAGAAAAATAAGGTGTCCTAAGAACAAATTCCAAGATCATTTTTGTCCACCATTTCATCTCTAGCCCTGAATCAGGACCAGGTACTTAGTGGTTACTTAACAAGTGTTTCATGACTGAATGGAAGTAGATATTTACACCCAATATTCTCTGATTATGAAGAGAGAGACAGATGGAATGGCAAGGTCCCCCTCCAGTTGTGAGTGAGTATGTTGGGGCATTACAGAGAAGGATGGACTGTACAAGTTACTCTTAAGGCCTATACTATGTGCCATATAAGTTCCTTTTTTCCTTTACTGTCTTGCATCAGAAGACATTCTTGCCACAGTACAGTAAATGTGCCTCAACAGTTAGTAAAGCAATTTGAGGCTCTGGAGTCAGAATTATGGAGATTTATTTATTTATTTGTTTGTTTGTTTGTTTATGTCTCTTACTCCCATGAATTCTCTCACAAATCATTAACTTAACAGCCATGCCATATGCCACCAAAGACAGGTGTCATAAAAGTCTGTAACTGAAAGGAAAGAGGATCCTAATCTGGAGAGTAGGACAGAAATCCCTGGAGTATCTCCCCTCCATCAATTGCCATGATTTCCAGGTCACTTTGTCCTGTTCAGGGTGAGGAGAAAGTGCTGTGGGATGGTCTGTATGTCAAGTGTGTTGCTGATTGGTCAATAAATAAATCACTGACTGGTCAGTGGCCAGGCAGGAAGTATAGGCGGGGCAAGGAGGAGAAAAAACTGGGAAGTGGAAGGCTGAGTGAGGGAGACACTGCCAGCCGCCATGATGACAAACAGCATGTGAAGATGCCGGTAAGCCACGAGCCATGTGGCAAGATATAGATTAATGGAAATGGATTAATTTAAGATATAAGAACAGTTAGCAAGAAGCCTGCCATGGCCATACAGTTTGTAACCAGT